CCTAACCCTGCTGCACTTAACTCTTCCAGTTTAAGGCAGATATTGCCATTCAGACACTGAGCCCTGAAACCTGCTGGTCATTTCAGGGCCTTTACACTTACCTCTCCAAGTTGTCTAGGACTCTTCTCTCAGACTTTCACATAGCTGATTCCTTCTGATCCTCAAGGTCTCACCCAGACTCCCTTCTTTACAGGGATTCCTCCGTTGGCTACATTAGCAAAAGAACCTTCCTTCCAAATCACTCTCTACCTGAAACCCAGTTTCATTTTCTTCATGGAACTTTGCACTATCTGATATTAATCTTTTATATTTTTTGACTTATTTATCTTAAACCACACTCTGTGAGCTGCTTAAGAGCACATACCCTATCTGCCTAGCATAAAACAGGTGCTTAGTAAACGTCTTTGCATGAGTAATTTCCCTGGATTTCTATTTTCCTCCACATAACCACTGCTCTTGCACAGCCCCACAATCTGAAGAAAAAAAAAAAAATTAAAAGAAACATAGCTTGGACCTCAGCCTCCTGGTTGGCCTCCCTTCTATTTCCTCCTCATCCAGTTCATCTTACATCTTACCTGCTACAGAATTATCCTAAATCACAGCTCTCAACTTGTCAATTACTTCTTCAAAATTCTTCAGTAGCTACCCACTGGGTACAAAATTAGGTACAAACTCCTTATCTAAGATTTACTATTCTCTTCTGGCTCTCCCCTACCTTTTAAAAAATTAATCTCCCTCTTTTAACCACTTACTTTAAAATAATTAGAGAAACAGTAGGTTGCAAAGAAATGTACAGGAATTCCCATGTACCCTTCTCCCAACCTCTCCAACATCAACAACTTAAACACAGCTCTCATAATACACCACAACCAGATCTCACTAGTTATGCAGACACTTGTCCACGCATGTGTGTAAGCATGTGCATGCGCTCGCGCACAAGCACTCGGGCTTACTTGTATAGCTGTGTGCAGTTTTATCGTATGGATGGTCATGGGTAATCACCACCATAACCAAAATACTCAACTGTACCATCACCCAAAACTCCTTCTGTTCCCCCTTTATTGCCTTACTCATTCTCCCCCATCTCTATCCCTGCTACTATTACTCTTCATCTCTGTAATTATTTCACGAATGTTACATAAATGGAATTCTTTATTTTTATTGGTAAGTAGTAGTCCATAGTATGGATGTGCCACAGTTTAACAATCCATCCACTGAAGGACATTTGAGCAGCTTCTGGTTTGGGGCTAATAAAAATAAAATTGCTATGAACATTCATGCACAAGTCCTGCATGGATATAGCCTTAATTTTCCTAGGATAAATTATTTAAATTTAGAGTGCAATCACTGGCATCTTACTTTTGTAGTCTGATTTCCCCTAAATTCCTTTCCTGTTCCCTTTTTATAGTCAAGTAGGGCCATTTGTACTGTTCTTCTTCCTCTCAGGTTTCTAATCCTCTTATCATTTGCATATTAATAGCTGCCTAAACCACTTTTTGAAAGTGGATGAAGAAATAAAACAATTTAGAGAATAGGGACAAATGAGGGAATAAATAATAAATAAGAGATGATAAATAAGAGATGATAGAGTATCTTATCAATCCTGCCCCAATGAAATGCAATCTCTTTCCTATAAACCTACATCATATTTGCTAAACTTCTTTTACAAAATATATGTTCTCCTAGTCTCGTGGATACATACATGCCCTACACTTTCATTAGAACAGTGAACTCTCTGGAGATAGGTCATTTCTTATTAATTTTATATTTACTTGGGCATCAAGAACAGTGCTTCTGTTAGAGCAGGAGCTCAAGCAAAACAGAATCTTCATTGTTTACTGAATGGATGAATTAAATATATCTGCCCTAAGAGGGCTCTGATCTAACCAGGAATCCAGGATGTTATATTTGCATTAAAAAAGACAACTAATAATATAAGTCTATACAGGCTAAATGCCAAAGGATAATAGAAGCAAGAAGTGTTAGAGAAATGCAGACGAGTGAGCAATTTTTTCTGGGATAGTTGGGGAGTGTTTCTTAAAGAAGGCTACGTTTGGGGGAACCCTTGAACAGATGGGTAGACCTCAGAAAATTAGGAAAGGGAGCCTTTTTAGTAAACATGACTTAGAGAACAGTAGATGGGTTGATCTCCTCTGTAGCTGCTGGACAATATTCCATAATACAGATGTGCCCAAATTTTTAAACCATCCTCCTAGTAAGACATTCAGATGTGCATCAGTTAGGATTATGTTTGGATCCATGTCACGAAAAACCCAAATAAGAGTGTCATGAACACAAAACACTTTATTTCTCTTGTGTGAAAGAAGCCCAGAGGCAGACAATTCATTGTTGGTAATGTGGACTCCATGGTCCTCAGATTCCACACTCCCTTTTTCAGCTCTAACACCCTAGCATGTGGCTTTTTTTCCCTAAGGCTGCCTCATGGGCCTAGCCAGCTCTCTTTATGCAGCCTTCCAGAAGTTTCATATAGTACTTTCAGTTCTAACTCATTGGCCAGAACTTAATTATATGGCCATACCTAGCTGCAAGGGAAGCTGAAAAACTGTGGTCTTTTACATGAGTGTATTGTTGTCTCAAAGAAAACTTAAGATTTGTAACCAAAAAAGGATAATAAATATTGGGTAGCAGCCAACAGTGAGAGAACAAAACTGAAATCTTGACCTGCCATGAGTAAGCACACACATCATCTTCCATAGTCAGGAAAAAGAGAAAGAAGCACTTTACGCCCTGACCCTGAAATAAACAAACAAGCAAAAAAAAAGGGGGGGGGGGTTACATCTGGTTCTACTTCCTAAAATAGAAGAAACCTTAATCCTGTTTGTGTAAATTACTAACTCCTTAACAAAACAAAAATTTTCCCTGAAGTCTGCAATATTCTTTTGATAATCACATCTGATTTTCCACCATGAACAATAGAACTATAACCTTTAATCCTGTGGGTTTTTACTTTAAATACCTGTTGTATTTTTCAATCAGCAAGCCAGTCCTGAATTTGGACTCCCTTGCAGAATTTTGCAAGTAAGCGATTTTTCTTTTCTCAAGTGATTTTTCTTTTCTTTTTTTTTTTTTTTAAGATTTTATTTATTTATTTGACAGACAGAGATCACAAGTAGACAGAGAGGCAGGCAGAGAGAGAGAGGGAAGCAGGCTCCCTGATGAGCAGAGAGCCCGATGCGGGACTCGATCCCAGGACCCTGAGATCATGACCTGAGCCGAAGGCAGCGGCTTAACCCACTGAGCCACCCAGGCGCCCTGATTTTTCTTTTCTTAATACTTTGGTGCCTCTAAGTCTTCCTTTCACACAGTCTCAGCCACAAGATTCTTTCTCATTTTCCCTATTATAAATCACACTGCAGTAAACAACTTGTAAATGTCTCCGTGTATACAGAGTGACAATTCCTCAAACACAGATATCTAAAAAAGGACTTGCTAGGACAAATGATATGCACATTTTTAATATAGTGTACCAGAACATTATCTGAAGAGCTGTGCTAGTTTATATTCCCAGCATCATTCTGTGAGTGTCCCTGATTCCCCACACATCACCAACATATGAGATTATCACTCTTTTCATTTTTACCAAATATGATGGGCAAAAACATGTCCTGTTGTTTCAACATCCATTTCCCTCACTACCACCTAGTTAGTAATTATAGTCTATCTAAAGTTGAATATTTTTAGTATGTTTATTGGCCATTTGTATTAATTATTCTTTGAAGAACTGATTCTCATCTGCCCATCTGGATTGTTTTCTTATGGATTTACAGAAAATTTTGGATATTCTGGCTATTAACCTTTTGTTACACATAATATTACTGTTTTCTTCCAATCTATCACTTACCTTTTTACTTTGTTTATAGTATCATGTGGTTTACAAAGTATTAAACTGTGATGCAGTCAAATTTGTCACTTCTCTAACTTCTAGGATTTTGTCTTGCTTACAATAACCATGCCACCCTAAAATTACAAACATACTGTCTTCTGTTACTTTTAGGGTTTGCCTGTCACATTTAAGCTAAATGATATTTATCTTTATATATACCATGACATAGGATTTTTTCTAATTATTTTGCTAAAGGTATAGCCAGTTGTCCCAACACTATATCCTGAATAATCTGTTCACTTCCTACATTGAAATGTTATCTTAACCACATGTTATCACACAGAATTACCACTATTTGTGGACTTTACTTTTCTGTTCTACATGTCTATCTGTCCATTTATACACCAATACTACAAAGTTGTAGCTACCAAATCTTTAGTATTTTTTGGAGGTGCCTGGGTGGCTCAGTTGCTTAAGCGTCTGCCTTCAGCTCAGGTCATAGTCTCAGGGTCCTGGGACTGAGCCCCACATTGGGCTCCCTGCTCAGTGGAGAGCCTGCTTCTCCCTCTGCCACTCCCCCTGCTTGTTCTCTCTCTCTCTCTTTCTCTGTCTCCCCCGCCCCGCCAAATAAATAAATAAAAATCTTTTTTTTTAAATGTAGTTATTTTTTGGTATCTGGTAAATCAGGCTCCTCCCTATTGTATCTTTGAAAAAGGAAAAAAAGTTGGCTGCTCTCATAAATTTTCTCTTCCAGATGACTTTAAACATAAGTTTACTAAATTCTACTTAAAAATCCTAGAGAGTTTTTTTAAATTGAGATTACCTGATTTGTAAATTAGCAATTTTTCATTTGCTTTTTTAAATTTATTTCATTTATTTGAGTGAGAGAGAGAGAGCGAGAGCCACAGGAGAGTGACAGAGACTCTGGAGCCGACTTAGTGCTGAGCATGGACTCCGACGCTGGGCTCCATCTCACAAACCCAGTATCACCACCTCAGGAGTCGACCTCTTAACTGACTATGGCACCCAGGTGCCCCCAGCAATTTTTCTTTCTAAGAGCACTTGCATGTTTTCAAATAAATATTTTTAAGAGCACTTTCATGTTTTCAAATAAATATATGCTTTCAAAATCAGCATGTATTTACCAAGTACCTACCTTGGGCTGAGTTCCATGGGAAATTCAAAGGATTTAAAGACAGTCCTTGCCCCACCAAAATGTACAACCTGGCTGAAAGGAAGAAAAAGATATAAACAACTAGTGCATTAAATGACAAATATCTAAGAATTAAACTTCTGGCTCATTTATGGTCACTATAGTATGCACTTTGAGGCTTATTTTTGCCTCTCATCTTACTTCTGTTTTTGTTTTTTCTTTGACCTTACTTTTGCTTTTATTTTTTTCTTTTTAAACACCTGACAACTGGGGTAAATGTTTATAAACATAATCAATTTCTATTTTACAGTCATCCTAGGGAAGAAGTTCTATTATCATCCCCAGTTTACAGATAAGAAAACTAAAGCTCAAAGAACTTAAGTAACTCTCCCAAGATCACAGAACAAGTAGGTGGAGGATAGTTAGGATCTGAAACCCAGTTAACCTGACTTCAGTCCCCATAGTGTCACCTCTTCTCCCCACCCCCAACCTTTTAAGTTCCTACTACTCTATCGAATGCAAAAATTATCTCTGAAATAAGGATAGGAAATGAATGAATAACAGCTTTCTTTCCTGTTCATCCTCTCTACACATGTCCAGCCAATAATAAAAGTTCACATGGGGAATAAGGACACATTACTCTCTGCCACTATCCAGGTTGGACCTGTCCAAGTTCCTCTCCCTCCTTCCCCTTAAGCTAAGCACAGGACCCACTACATAATTTACAGGGCCCTGTGCAAAACCAAAACGTGGGGCCCCTTGTTCAAAACTGATGACTACCTTCAAGGGGCAGAGAGACCGTTCAAGGAAGCCCAGGGCTCTTCTAGGCACAGGGGTGGGGAGGGCTCAACCACACAGATCCTACCCCATGAAGCAGGCCCAGGCTAAGAGTTTCTTTTCTAACCCGGGTCTCAGGCTTTGCAGATTCACAGCCCTGTTCTGATGAAGAAGGCTGCTCAGAAGTCTTCCTCCCCACCGACAGCGACTACGACTCCAGTGATGCTCTGAGCCCCCGAGACCTGGACCTGGTGTACCTGTCATCACACGACATCGCCCAGCAAGCGCTAAGCGGCCTAAGTGGCAGCGCCCCCGACGTCCTGCAGGTGCATGACATGAAGAGTCCTCTGGGGCCGGGTCAGGACCCCCAAGGCCGGGTCCTGGGGCCAGACCCTGACCACTCGTGCGCCGAGGTCCTCCACAGCCTGACGCTGACGGGCTTGGCGTCCAAGAACCACGGCAAGATGGCGCCAGGCTCGCGGCCCGCGCTGGGCTTCCTGGGAAAGCGGAAGCCGGCCAAGCACCAGCACTACGGCGGCTTTAGCCGCCATCAGCGCTGGCTGCGCATGCACAGCGAGACGCAGTCGCTGTCGCTGTCCGAGGGCGTTTACACGCAGCACCCGTCCCGGGCCTGCGGCCTGGCCCACGATCCTGCAGAAGCCGAGCGGCTGGGGCCAGCCCCCGATGGGCCCCGGAGCCTGATTCTAGCTCACACCACGAGCCTCCCTGAAGAGGGGAAGAGCAGCCTCCAGGACCCGAGGCCCGCCGTACGCCGCATTTACGTGGAGCCCTACTCTGCGGCGATGGTGGACTCAAAGCCCTGGGCTGCCTTGAGCCCACCCCCAGGAAGCCACTCTGGCCTGCCCAGCCCCACGGGTCCGGAGATAAGCCCTGAGGGCCCGACCACATCCCAGGTGTCAGAAATACTAAGCAGCATGCTTTAGGGAGGGTCCCCTTCTACCGCATTTTCCATCACCCTCCCTCCATCCCGCTCCCACTGTGTCTCCATCCCTTTTCAAATGGTTTGAATGTTAAAACTCCAAAAGTTACAGGTTCAAGGCCCTCTTTTTTAGGAAAGAGTTGGGTGGAGGTGAGAGTTGCCAGTGTTGTTCCCAGTTCAGGGCATAGAAGAGCTTTTGTGTCAACATGGAGCCCTAGACACAAGGGTTCAAACATGCCAACTGGTTGGGAGGTATTCTTGTTGGAGGCAGGGCTACCTAAAAAACCACCCTCAGTTCTACAGCTGGCTCTGTAATCTGACCTTTGGGTTTAGGTATCTTTCATGAATTTGTGATTGGTGGGGAGGAGTTCTAGAAATGAAAGTAAGATTAGCATTATTTTTCCTTCCGCTGCAAACCTTTAGAAGAGTGTAAGGGAAAGAAGCCCAGGTCTTCTGGGCACAAGGTCAGGTGGACTTGTTCTAGGTTCCCAGTTAGCTAAACCAAGTCATTCCAAAGTGTAGGGTTCTCAGCTGGTCATCAAATCAAATTTATCCATCAGAACTAATATATGATTAAGTAGGCAGTCGTTTTCTTCATTTGGTGTTGTGTGGAAGCCACTAGATACAAAAGTAGAGGATGCTTTGCTTCTAGCTTTGTCTTGCAAAGGTAAAATACGGCACAAAGCAGCCCTTCCTACACACTCATCTCCCATTGAAGCATGGATATGGGCCTTATATTATTCAGGTATAGGGACATAGCTAAATTAAGTGAAAACCTAGGTTAAAAACAAGACAAGGAGGAGTAAGAGAGAAATGAGCTTTTCCTCTACAATCCTAAAATAAGTAAGTCCATGAGTCTTTGTCTCTGAAAATGATAGTGGGTCTGCTCAGTTTCTTAGGTGTTGGAAGGTCATTGAATGAGAAAGTGCCCTTCAGATACGGCACAGCATTTGATGGAGTCCTTACGGCTATGCTGGTACATCTGTGCACCCCTACATCAGTGGTTCCAAGGCTATACTTTGAAACACCTGAAATTCGTGCTTTGGTCTCAATGCCTCTCACCTGCCTTTCTCACAAATGAGAAACCCAAATCAAAGAGAAATCACACTGCATATTCAAAAAAGGCCTGAACCTTCTCTTATTTCCTGGAGCCAAGACTCATTCAGTTTACTGATATTCTAAATGGTCCTTTTCTGCTTCACAGGCATTTGGGTTAAATATTGCTCTTTATGGGCCCTACCCCTGTCCTCACAGTTCTACCATTCCTCCTCATGGGATTTCATACAAAGTCCCCTGTTCACAATGTTATTCCGATCCCTTCCATTTTTAAAACATTTGATTTAAACATAAATAATTACCCTGGCGGAAAGGTACAGATTTGGCCCATGGCCTACGGTCATTAGAAAACTAAGGCCCAGAGCTCAATCTTTATTTTTTTAAGAGATTTTATACTCCGTGAACCCCCCCCCACACACACACACAAAGATTCTTGAGCAGAATCACTGTGGCTCCTTTTCCATGCCTGCAAGGATTTTAAAATGCAGTTTTCTTCTGTTCTGAGTGAACTCTATGTATATGGAGTGTTAGAGCTAGAAAAGACCATAAAATTAATCTAAGTCCTTGTATTTACAGATGAGACGATTAAACCCAAGAGAGGTTAAGTGACTTGCTCAAGGTCAAAGAGCTAGTTTAGTCTCAGGGTCAGAACCCAGAAGCATTCCCTTTACAGTAGGCTGGCCCATTGGGAATCAGTACACACCAGTAGTCAACTTTTGTTTGCCTACTGGCTACTTACCTAGTTTGTAGATTATCTTTTAATTCCAAATTCAGCTCCTTTTCTCAACTTTTACCTAAAAGATTTCCATTATCACAGAGCTCCTTGTTGCCAGGAAATAACAAATTTCACATAGTTAATAGCTAAGTTAATTAAAAAGCAAATTGGAGAGAAATGTCACTTAATATTACACACCATATGACTCCCCTTTAATAATAAAAATGACAGCATCATCTGCATTCAGTTTCTACTTATTTCTAATTATGGGACAGATTATATATGTTGAAAGCTGGAATTGTCAAAAAGTAAGAAACCAAGTGATTCTCTGACCATGACCTTTCTGGTGGCATGGAAGGAAGCTTGTGACTGTTAATTGGATGGGAGGCATTCAATAGGCAGCAAAAGCAGAGACTAACCCACCCTCTGGCCCCTCATTTGGTTGGCAAGTTCTGGCACTTTGCACCAAATAATGACTCATGAAGTAAAATTGCATTAAACCCAAACACTAATTTATATTGAGATCATGGGTTATTTTTTCACCTTCTGTGAGGAAAAGAGGTGCATACCCATGAAACGAATACTGCGCATTTCTATTTTAGTGGGCACAATGAGTTGGTTTGAAAATGTATATTCCTAGCAATATTTCTATGTAGAAGTGGATGTTATGTCCTCAGTATTTAGCCAGTATTTGTTCAAGTAGGTGCCCTCCACCTATACCTACACTTTGCAACATCTTGTGAGCCTCGTTTAAATTAATAGATTCCCGTGAGAGACAATTATGTTCTCTAATTCACAATCCTTTATTTGTTATGTCCAGGCATTATGAAGACTTAACAACTTCTGAGGATTTTTTGGTTTTCTTGTTTGTTTTATCTTGATGGCTTTGTTTTGTTTTGTTTTGGATATGATGAACTTTTGTCTTTTTTTTTTTTTTTAAGTCCAATCTGGGGGCCTCTGGAGGAAACTCTCCTGTCCCATAATTTTTCTACCATGCTTAACTCTCACTTGTATTAATCCAGCTCTCATCATTGGTGAAAACCCTCAAAAATCAGTGACCAAGGCCCTCCCATATGTCTTTCTCTCCTCTAAGTCCCTTGGAAAAACAAAAGAATCCAGGACAAAACACATTCCTGGACCAGTAGGAGCTCACAGAGTATAGCCATCATCACTGTACATCTTCTCATTGATGTTTTAGAAGAGGCAAAAGCCTATCTCCTCAGGCCATCATAGGACATGTTGGGCTAGACATCACTGACTTCCCTCTTGCTGGCTATTCATAAAGGAAGACAACCTAGAAAACACAAGTCACCAATGTATATGCTTGGCAACCTTTTACAAGGCTATCACATCCTCTTACTTTGTGAGAGGAACTGGGAAACAGTAATTAAAAACATTTACTCTAGGGAATGGGTATTTTAAGAAGTGGGTACTTTAAAGATGAGACCCACTCCATTTTAAGAACATTCACTAATGCTTAAAGCAATAATTACGCTGGATAAAATGGTTCCATTTGGTTTGAAAGTTGAAGCCAGTTAGTAATAATATTCCTCCAGCCCCCATTCCTGAAGGATCCCAAAGCACTTTATGAAAAGCAATGACTGAAGCCTTGTTGTACTCCCCTAAAAAGACCTTGTCTGGGAGCCACCTGGCAAACACCTACCCTATCCTTGCCAGGAGATCGTGCCAGACAAGTGGGAAAGAGGACTGGCTTCTCATTCATTGTTATCCTGCCATGCAAAGGTGCACCCTGGTGAGCGTTCAGCTAGCTCTTCCCTTGAAGATAGCAAATTTAGACAAAGAGGCGTACCAGAAAATCCCAACTCCTTTCCCTCCACCCCCCGCCCTTGGCTCTACCCAAGACGTACTCACGTTCTCTTGGAGAACTATCAACTCGAGTTGTTCAGGGGTCTGCTGTGGATTTAAGTTCCCTAGTTCTGTCAACAGCACACAGAAGTCACTGGCTTCTTAAAATCTATACTGTTGGAAAGATGATGGCATTACCTTACAGTACTCTCAAGTTTGTATGTGGCAGAACTACAGCAGAGCGTGTGCCTCTCTTGCTGTATTTGTTGACTGAATTATAACAAACCAGTTAGAGAGGGTAGTTATAGGTTAACAAGAGACAAGAGAACACTCCCAGAGAGTTGCAAGTCACTTTATAAAGTCGAAATACTTTCCCAGATGATTCAGTGACTTGAACTTGAACATTTTGGGGTTCCCCGCCCCGGTATACCTTGAAGGAAAACTGTAAGGGACCTCTTTGGAAAGCAGTGATACCTCTCCACAGGTAGTAGAGGGAACAAAGGAAAAACTTGTTTTTTTGTGGGTCACCTCTCATAAGATGTTCAAACACATGGCTTACGACTGTTAAGCTCAACTTCAATGCGGCCTTACAAACAACAAGGGTAGTGTATTTGAAGCTATGTTGCACAGCTTGGAAACTTATTCTAAGATCCTAATTCAGAGTTTTTCTGAGGTGTTGAACTTTGCC